GAAAAAACGTGACTTCCTGTTTGCATCCGAAGTTCATATATAGTTAATTGATGTCTCCTGTCCATATCCATATAAGGTTTCCATATCTGGTCTCGGATTTCATCTAACTTCATTTCTGACATGAGAAAATTTGGAAATAAATGTAGCATTCCTTCGAAAGCAAAATTGCTGCGTTGTAAATAATGAAGACATAAAGAAAAATTCTTAGCCGTCAGAAAAGAAAATACGAGGGCTATTTTTTAAATAAGGTCCGTTTTTTAATAAGAAAAAAAATACTGTAAATATCATTAAAATATATTTTTTCCCATATTCTACATACATTTATCTACTTTTTTACATAATTTCCATTTTTGTTCAAACATTTGTCATACCGCTCAAAAACATTTTTAATTCTGATTTCAAAAAAATCTGCCGCCTGCCGAAGACATTAGGCCACGCCGCTTGTCTTGTATGGCATGGCGGAGTTTTCTAAGGTCACACAATAAGCATCAGAATTGATTGATGTGCCTCTTGGCATAAAATCTACTGACAAAGTAATTTTCCTGCCCCGAAAGACAGTTATCATGATCTTTCGTGCTGAAATCGAATAACAAATCGTATCGAAAATTGAGTCGGCGGGCGACTCAATTTTCTTAAACATTATATACTTCTACAGTTCAGCACACAGACAGACGATACGGCTGCCAATGCCATCTAAACACGCTCAAAGCATGCTGAAAGCAGATGCTCATGCACACTGCTGCAATCGCGCATCATTCTCACTCATATTCACAAACGGATCTTATTTAAAAAATAACCCTCGTATAATGCCGTGAGATACGAGCAAAAGTTTCAAAAAGTTCGATCAACACTCGCGGACCAAGTCGAACGGAAGTGTCAAATTAATTAATCCATCAAATTAAGAATTTAGGGGAGAGATCTTTCTTAAAAGCCAAAAGTTCAAAGAGAAAGAACGGTGACTTCTTCCCGGCTCTGTGTTGTCTCGGACTTTATTTTCGTTCCGCCTTATTATAAAGGTTTTTCGGTATTTTTAATATTAACTTTATCCAGTTTGATGTTGCATTAAAACGCAAAACGTGCAACCACCGACAAATCTCTCCGTAAAAGCCAAATAATATTGAGCAAAATAAATCGAAATCTTAAGAAATTGATGGCCGAAAATGGACGAAAAAGATATTTATTCGAACGAATTTCGTGCGATTTTCGGACATGGTCAATCGAGACGTAGAATTTAAGAAGATCGTCTTTTACCTCTCCACGGTGGACATTCTGCAAATAATAATGTTTATTACAGTATTGTCTCCGAACATTAGACCCATACTACTACATTAGCGAGGTTGCGGCAGAAGTTTTCATCTCTCAAACGTGAACGCCGAACGTCGTGAGAATTTATCAAATTCCGAACACAAAAGAATGATTGAAGCAAAATTTAAAAAAAAAAATTGATTTTTTTTTAAATTATAATTTTTTCGAAATTCGAACATTGTTGACGCGTCTTTTAACGTTTGTTCGAAATCCGTCACACATGACGATTCGCAGTTCGATTGTGTTTCTGCTTGGAGTCGGACGTGTTTTTGTTGAGCTCGTGAAATGTGTTTCTTCGAGTCCCCGCTATTCCAACGTCTCTTCGGGCGTGGTACTAATCCCACAGACTCGTTCCAGCGCCGTCCGAGGAACCCCCTCCCTCCGACGCCGGAACCGCCTCAAAAACCGCACCAACCTCTTCATTCTGTAAAAAAAAAAAAAAAAAAAAAAAAAAAAACAAATTGCAATTAGTTGAGTGAAAACAAAAGTCTAAACAAACCTCTTGAAAAATTTCAGAAATTTTCGACAAAAAACACAGGAGAAACATCTTAAAGACAGAATCAAAATATTATAAATGCTGTCATTGAACAACCTTTAACTAATGCGGCATTTCCGAAACGAACGAAAATTTCAATTAGGGGCTGTTCATAAATTACGTCCTCACTTTTCTTGAAATTTTTACTCTACATTTCCCTCTTGTCCCATTTTGTCCAAGTTTCAGTAACACTTTTCCCTCTTCGAACCTACAACAAAAATTAACTTTTTCTTAAATCCTTTATTACTTTACTTTACTCCGCCCGCGAGGATTTTGCAAGCAGGATTTTTCAAGAGGTTTCTTTAGACTAAAGAAAGGTGAAAATTAGTGTTGCAAAGAATACCGAATATTCGGCCAGGAACGTGGCCGAATAGCCGAATATTCGGCCAAACTATTCGGCTTGATTAATTTAACGCACGTACGAAAATTAGCGCGCAAACCGCATTATGGCAAGGACCCTGCTCTCTATTGGTCCACTGTCACTACGCTTCGCCAATCGCGTTAATTCTTGACAGTTCAAACAAGAGAGTCATGGCAGTATGTGATAAGTGATGATATCAAACGTAGATAACAATGAAATGACCTACACGTGTAAATAACGGAAGAAGAACAGAGAAGGACCGCAAAGTGAAAATGTGAAAATAAATATGAAATTGAGTTGATAACATAAGTTATCAACTCAATAAGTTAATAATATCAGCTTATTGAGTTATCAACTCAAGAAGCTGCTTCGAACAAGTCGAGGCAGCTTTTTGGCGCGAAATTCGCGGCCGTCAATGCCAAACAATTGTTGTCATAGACTTCGGAAATCTAAATGCTTGTAATGAAAGTCACTTAGCGTGCACGGGCGAAAGCCTGGGGTCGTTCGGGCTACCAAGCTGTTTCGAATCTGTGAAATCATAATGTGACTTATACCGACGTCCTATCTGTCTCTTTTCTCCGTTATCACCAGGCTATGAGTCACGTAATTGTAAAATGGGAAATCTACGACGAAAAAGTGACGAATCGAAAGTATCGTCAGGACGTATTATGTTGTATGCATAGGCATACGTGGACTAGAGCGATAAAGGAAAGCGAAAGGGAAGAGCAAAGACGAGCGCTTAAAAAGAAGGATAAGCTGGGTTACACCCTCAGATGTGCGACGATTCTCCAACGAATAGGTGTGTACTGTACGTGTGCTGATCTTTGTAATTATAAATTGTGAATACAAGTGATTAATATTATGTTTTTTTTTTTATTTTTATTTTGTGCATTATAAATAAATATATACAAACAACACTAACCCGATAACATTAAATCTAAATACCAAAATGATTAATTTACTGTGTTTTTGTTATTTCTTACTTCTGTTTTTAGGTATTCGGTATTCGTCCGAATAGCGAAAAATAGGCCGAATACAGAATAGTAACCGAATATTCGTTACATCACTAGTGAAAATAGTTGTTTCTGGTGATTGGACATGACAAGCAGTGAAGATATGATTAGTATCTGTGATGTAATTTTTACTTTATTAAATTGCTACTTTTTTATTAAAAGGTTCAGCACGATAACCTTGCACCGGACCCCGCTATTTCTCGGGCCGGCCCTACTAGATGAAAGATACTAGAAGCCATTGTCTACTCGTACCAAAGGCGTAAGCAAGCCCATTATGGGTTCGGCCAGGTCCACAATGGGGCGGCCGAGTAATGAGGACGGGGCTCGACATATCCGGACATACAAAATAAACGATAAATTTTCGATGAACTACGTATTCGTTGATCGAGAAAGCTAAACACTTTATTCATCGGACACTTTGAATCCTGAATTGCAATAATAAACGACACTTTTAGCCCGCGACTATGAATTAGACAGAGTTAGATAACCTAATAAATAGGATTTAACAATTTGGAGGGCTTATCACACCAAGGCCGACAGAAAGAAGGACTAGATCTTTTACAAAAATGTTAGTCTTTAATAAGTACATTTCAAATTTAGGTAAGGATGCATTTCGAGTACAAGGACCCCTCATCAGCTTACAAACACACGGCACCAACATAATAATCATAACACTAATAGTTAACCAATATCTAATATATACAGTGCACTGTATTTACAATTTTTAATATAACCCATATACAGTACTGAAGAACTAAAACTATTGAGCATAAAATTTTCCAATACAATAACAATGTGATATATCATATTATTTGGGATTAATAAATGTCTTATTTTCTCCCACATTTTCTAAATTCTGGTAGACGGTTCCATTATTAATAATAAAATATTGTTAAGTATATTAAACCAAAAAGAGAGGGAATCTAACAACGAACTTACTATTATTAAAATACAGTCGACTCCCCTGTAACACTGTTGATAATTCAGTTTTATATGAATTCCATGTTGTACGAGTCACTTAGATTTTACAAATACGTGTGCCGGGCTGTGAACGGCTCACGTATTTGTAAAATCTAAGTGACTCGTGGCGCTGTCTTCAAAGAGATAAAGAATGGAATTTTTCTGCTCCTGCATTTTTAAAGTTTTTTCCTATAATTCTTATTATTTGTTATAAGTGTTATACATTTTTTGAAAGCGTTATTTATAACGAACAAGAATATGTTAAGTTTGTACAATTTGGATACTCCTCTCTGAAATTACACGTTTTTGAAACTTCCGGTTATTCGGGCTTGATTTTCCGGACTATCTCAACCGTTCAACCGGAACCTGATCTAGTGGCTTACTCGCACTACTTAAGTGAGTACATGTTTCAAATTTTGGGGTTCCAGGCCCGGTATTTAAGGAGTTATTAACCACTTCCTGTTATTTTTCGGCAAGCCGTAACTCGTTTCCGGTGGGCTATATCCGAATAATTTCCAGTCGCTTCTTAGAAGACATCAAATGTGAATTTATCCCAAAATTTCACAAGTATAGCTTTAATAGTTTTTAAATTATTGATGTTCTATGAAATCTTTAATTTTCAACATTGACCTCTACTACTAGAATTTTCTAGAACATTTCACGGAAGTTGTATTTTCTCTGTTTCTATTAATAATTTCCTATACATATCATTTATTTCTAGATTCGTCTGGAGTAGAGGAAGACGTTGCACATAATTATAAGCTAACAAAATTAATATATTAGACGATATTAATATTTTAAGATAAAATTTATTATTTTCTTCAGTATGGAATCTGAAATACAAATATTCCATGATACTGCTTATGGTATTTATGACGAGATTAAGAGATATTCCCTGCAAAATCGAAATGCTAAATTTGGGGTAGAGTGTCATTTAACATATATATTGACACAATTCACCAGAATTATAGAATTAGCAGAATCTACTCTTAAGAATAATAATTTAGTTGAACGAACACTTTCAAAGTTAGTTACTAAAGAGGATTTGCAAGACTTTAAAGATGCTCAATTTGATGAATCTAAAGAAATTCTAATGGATATTCAATCCGCAGTACATAACCAAAGGAAAACTACTTCTGACAGTGTTGCTGGCGAAAAAGTTCCTAGCACCCTTAGTTATAGAGATACCCTACTAAAAGGAATAAAACCAACCTTACCTGCAAATGAACCACCTCCACCAGAATACACAGTTTTGGTATATAGTGATAAAGTCGGTGCCACTTGTGATGAAACTAAACGTAATCTAACTAATAACGTGCAACCTGATAAACTTGGCATAGGGATACGTAGAATAAGGAAGATTAGGAATGGAGGACTTGCAATTGATTTAAGCCATAAGAATGAGGTAGGCTATTTTAAAGAGAATGTTGAACAAGTTCCTGGCTTGGTTTCCAGACTGCCGAAAAAGCGACTTCCACTAATCAAAATTGCTTCCGTTCCTAAAGGTATCAATAAAGACGATCTCATATTAGATATCTTTGAGCAAAACGTGTACCTTCTAGAAACTTTTACTGATCGCACTTTTGCTGAACATGCTACTATTAGATTTCCGCTTAAAGAAAAGAATGAAAATTATCTTTCATGGATTCTAGAGGTATCTCCACAGGTTAGGGAGAAATTAGTAAAGGCAGGGAAAATTCATCTTCTTTGGTCGACGTGTCAAGTTTTTGACTTTTTTCCTATTACTCAATGTTATCGTTGCTTATCTTTTGGTCACATAGCAAAAAATTGTACCTCAACAGACAATGTGTGTAGTCATTGTAATGAGAATCATCTATATAAAAACTGCCAGAACAAACATAATTCACCAAAGTGTGCCAATTGTTTACGAGAAAACAGAGCACATAACTGTCATAATACAATGGATAAAACTTGTCCAGTATATCTTAAGGAAAAAACCAAATTCCAACAAAGGATTAATTATCATATATAGATATTTGCATAGACTACTTCACGTCTTTATACAGTACATCGTCAAGTTTACTGTTGTATTCTGCATACTTTGATTTATTTATAATCGTCTTTTTTTTTTCTAAAAATCAAAGGACACATTACTCAACGTTAGTGTTGGCCTCAACTTTGGAGAGTTGCTGATTTCTGTGTATTTTTATTGTGATTTGTGGACACGTGTTTCATGACTATGATAAAATTTGTTTACTCTTCTCTAATAATAGCAACTCACCGAGTATGTATGTAGTTGTATAGTAGTATATAGTTATTAATAGTTAAGCCAACTTTGTTTTCTTACATATTGCTTTTTACATTTATGATATTGATATATCCTATGTATTTATTTCCTGTTATGTTATGTTAACAGTTATATATAATATGTATTTATAGTTTAGTATTTTATTGTATGTATATAGTTGTATATAGTATATATTTTAATTTATTTTATTTCTTCATCATTAGTCTATTGTGTATAACATGTACTTCTGAGCATTGCTATTGTATTGAGTTTAGCCGGTAATGCTTTCTGCGGGGCCGGCCTGTATATATATTTATTTATATGTACAATAAATAATGAATGAATAATGAATGTAATTAGTTTCCAGACTTTAAACAAAAACAAATACACCTAATCCATAAGACTGTGTGAAGAAAACTGCCTTGCTACAATTCATTTTACAATGTGGTATGACTATATAACCTTGAAACAGATGCTGAACAGATGTGGGAGTATAGTCACATCACATTGTACAGAGCTTTACAGAGCACCAACATCGGGCGGTTTAGCTGGTGGAAGCTACACACCAAAATATCGCGTGAGGTTTGCCGATTGGGTGAAAGTGTTGCGACAATCCAGCGGTCAGCACTGTCGCGTGGGCGCGGCGGAACTCACAGAGACAGGTTTTTCTATTTTTACCCGTTTAATAACATCAAAATAATTTCTTACAAAACTTTGAAACGTCGGGATCCCGGTTGCAACAATTATATAATAGTCCAACAACGTAATGTCCTTCGGTCTCAGGCTTCCGATCCTGGGCGTCCTCGTACGGGTTGATGATCACTCGTCGACCCTGGTTAGCGCTTCTGTGTCGATACTGGATTTCCTTTGCCGGCCGTCGCACTCGTATGTTGATTGCTATCCGAGGTACGTGGAATTCCTTCTTAACTTCCTAATGCTTCACACATGACCAAAGTGGGGAGTCACTAACTAGACATCCAAGCACCAAGGACCAAGAACGTCACATCCTTTTTTCGCGCGGGTTTTATAAGTTTCCTTTGGGTCCCAGACCGAACATTCCGATAGGTCGATGTCGACTTGCCCCCGCTCTCCAATTGGTCCCCCTCCTCGTTACTAATTGTAACGAGATTAGAACCCAGATCGTGGAATGAGTCAACACCGACTGACAATTCGATTCCTATCGAAGATGTTCCATCTAAGCACTCAAATTCATCTATTGTTTTAATCTGAGTAGTTCGATTTTCTTATAAATTTCTACAGACATGTCCTTATATGGACATAAAATATTCATTTTTCGTTTGATGGTTTCTTTTTACACCATAATAATAATTATTATTTTCTTCTATACAAAATTTAGAAAAAAATTTCCTTTTCTTTTTTTTGCACAAATTCTAGGCCCACTTCCGAAGCCTCACAATCGTATAATGCCTATCTTTCCCAAGACTACAAATACTGTATTCAAGTACAAAGTAACCGGTTTCGACTTATTTCTACTTAAGAAGTAGTTAAATAATTAAGAGATCAGGGAATTAGGGGCATATATACAACCCTGCTGAAAGAGCCGGAATTTTACTTAAACCAAAGCTTAACCGAACCAATCTAGCCGAGTATAGTGGGGACTGATTTCTTCGTAATATTAGATGTAATGAAGACAGAAAATTTTCCAGTTCAACGAGAGCAGTGGCGTACCGTAGGTGTCAGCCGCCCGGGGCGGAGGAAAATTTTGGCCCCCCTTACTTAGGTAATTCACTTTAATTAAAAGACCAAAATTCAGTTTTGTCACAGAACAAGCAATGAAAGATTCGCGCGGTAATGCAGCGACCTGTTTAAAATAGTTCTATCGAACATTAGTGGTGTATATGAACACGAATGAATCGTACAAGCAAAAAAAAAAGGTCAACAGGTTTCGCATAATTTCCTTGGAAGAAAAAATTACTAGTTCACCGAGACGGCGAGCCATTTCCCGGACTGTCCGGACGATAGCACTATCGTAGGCGCGATGCAAGTATAGATTAGGATGTTTCAAATTTTTACAAGATATTATTATTTATTGTGAAATTTTGCCGCCCCTAAAAGGTAATTTTGCCGCCCCCTAAAAAGTGCCGCCCGGGGCGGGCCGCCCCTGCTGCCCCCACTACGGTACGCCACTGAACGAGAGTGACCGAAAAGTTGTAAATTTTGGAAATTTCCATGGACACCTGGTCGTAAAACGAATTAGTTAGAAAACAAATGATGGACAATCTACTTAGTATTAAGTTTAACATATTTAGATTTTTACAGCTATGGTGAGAAACGTTTCAAATTTACGATAACCCTGTCGCGTCCTTTGAGATATACTAGTGATTCGACAAAAGAGGCATTTGACATTAACCGGTATCGGCACCCTCGGGATTTGGCATCCCACGTGCATGCCCGCACTGCACACCTACCAAGACCGTCTCTGATTCTATCCATTAGCCGCTGGTAGAAAGCTATATGACTAAGTGAATTGTTTTAAGATTTAAAAAGTAAAGAGTATTTTATGTCATTTTTATGTACGTTTCTTTATAAAGCTACATTTAATTATAATTTTCTTAAAAGTATATTCACACAATTGAAGAATATTTTATACCAGGTATGTATATCCACCACACATTTTATTTCACCAAGTAAGTTTGTATAAGTTTATTTTAAATTTTAGCCCTTATATCGTGGCTAGCGATTCGGAATGTAATTGTGATATTAAAAATATATTTAGAGAAGTCTACGGTTTTTATTGGCTTATCGAACAAACGAATACGAATGGACCCTAGACCATCACTGACGCGCAATTGACTGATTGCCCCTGGATGTCGGCTTCTTACAGAAACACAGCTTCCCTAT